CCCCAATAACCGTCAGGGTAAACTGAAGATTCTAAAGGTGAGCAGGAAGAGTAACATGGTCTCGGGAAATGGGCAGATTCTCAGCTACTCTGTAAATTGCAGATTCTTAGAGAACATGGGCAAACTCTCAGAGTCTCGGGGTAGATGAGCAGATTCTCAGAGTCTCAGGGTGATCTGCAGATTCTTAGATCGAGTGACTGGGCAGATTACAATGATCTTAATAGTGACTGTGCAGATAATGCTCTTTGATGGAATAGGCAGATTTATGTGGTCTCTGGATAATTAGCAGATTCCCATGGTCTCTGGATAATGGGCAGTTTCTCATGGTCTCTGTATAATGGTCAGATTTCCATGGTCTCTGGATAATTGGCAGACTCCCATGGTATCTGGATAATGGGAAGATTTCCATGGTATCTGGATAATGAGCAAATTCCCATCGTCTGGATAATTGGCAGATTCCCAAGGTCTCTGAATAATGGGCGGATTCCCATGGTCTCTGGATAATGGGCAGATTTCCATGGTCTCTGGAAAATGGGCAGATTCCCATGGTCTCTGGATAATGGGCAGATTCCCATAGTCTGGATCTTGGGCAGATTTCCATGGTCTCTGGACAATGGGCGGATTTCCATGGTCTCTGGACAATAGGCAGACTCCCGTGGTCTCTGGATAATTGGCAGACTCCTGTGGTCTCTGGATAATGGGCAGATTTCCATGGACTCTGGATAATGGGCAGATTCCCATGGTCTCTGGATAATTGGCAGACTCCTGTGGTCTCTGGATAATGGGCAGATTCCCATGGTATCTGGATAATGGGCAGATTCTCAGCTACTCTGTAAATTGCAGATTCTTATAGAACATGGGCAGACTCTCAGAGTCTCGGGGTAGATGAGCAGATTCTCAGAGTCTCAGGGTAATCTGCAGATTCTTAGAGCGAGTGACTGGGCAGATTACAATGATCTTAATAGTGACTGTGCAGATAATGCTCTATGATGGAATAGGCAGATTTATGTGGTCTCTGGATAATTAGCAGATTCCCATGGTCTCTGGATAATGGGCAGATTTCCATGGTCTCTGGGTAATTGGCAGACTCCCATGGTATCTGGATAATGGGAAGATTTCCATGGTATCTGGATAATGAGCAAATTCCCATCGTCTGGATAATTGGCAGACTCCCATGGTATCTGGATAATAGGAAGATTTCCATGGTATCTGGATAATGAGCAAATTCCCATTGTCTGGATAATTGGCAGACTCCTGCGGTCTCTGGATAATGGGCAGATTCCCATGGTCTCTGGATAATGGGCAGATTCCCATGGTCTCTGGGTAATGGGCAGATCCCCATGGTCTCTGGATAATGGGCAGATTCCCATGGTCTCTGGATAATGGGAATCTGCCCATTATCCAGAGACCATGGGAATCTACCCATTATCCAGAGATCACAGGAGTCAGCCCATGATCCAGAGACCACGGGAGTTTGCTTATTATCCAGAGATCACGGGAGTCTGACAATTATCCCGAGACCACAGGAATCTGCCCATTATCCAGAGACCATGGAAATCTGCACATTATCAAGAGACCATGGGAATCTGTCCATTATCCAGAGACCATGGGAATCTGCCCTGTAAGGAAACCTAGTATATTCAATCCTCATTCGGTAGTTTCCTACCGAACCGCCAGAGCATCAGTGAGTATAGCTCTCCGTTCGGTAGATGAAATAGACGAAATCCATACGAATACAAATAGCTTTATAAGATGATTCCCTAAATAAAGCATACGAATCCCCAAACATCAGCTGAAGCCAAGAAGAAGGGTACAACAGAACTGGCTTTTAATGACCACACACAGGCTTTCATGCAAGTCCCCATGCAAGGGGACATCCCACAGGGAGGGACACAGTATAACCAATCAGTTACAGGAAAACAGTAAAACACACCCAGCACAAACATACAATTCCCTCCCCTAGTCCTGGAGATAATCAAGTCTGATAAAGTAATAACTTGATTATCTCCAGGCAAAAAAATCACAATTTTCCCCAACATTCAGAAAACCCCTTTATACATGGGGTATCTGCTCCGATCTGGGTGACCAACATATTCAAATTTCACCCAGATCGGTTCAGGGGTTCTCAAAAAGTGTGGAAGTCCTTTGTGACCGGCTAACCGCGAGGTGGCTGCCCAAAATAGTTCCAGGAGTTTGAGTGGTTTTGCCGGTCTATTCAGTAAAGGGGCAAAAACCGAATAATTCCACGAATGGATTCCCCTGGCTCTTAGCAGCGATTGTTCCCCTCATTCGAATGCACACAAGTACCGAATAGCGCTTTTCTAGCTATTCGGAAGATCCAGCGTTCGCTTGTTGAGACTGGTATTAGGGTGTCGATTTTAGTTCCAGACACTCGACGACAGGGGAGGGCTGGCAGCCTTAGGCCTGGGGGGCAAAACCAGTCAACAGGCCCATTGCACCACCAAATCAGTGCAATGGTGCCCACCTTTTCCTGGATTTATAACGGATATTGATGTTATGCTAATCAGTAGCTCTTTGCCATACCCGCTCCTTCACGGCTCTGACTTTCAATGTTGTCAGAGCGCAGGCTGAGAATCTCTGAGCCTGTGCTCTGACTCACTAACTGAGCGTCGGAACCACGAGGGAGAGGCTATAATCTGACTGCACCTACTGCTGGTGCGCACCAGTGGACCACCAGCGAATCGTTTAAACTGAATAGGCTGGTGTCCCCAACTTGTGAGCTGTGTTGTCCGCCGGGCGCCTCTGTTGTGATGGCACCCTGCGTGACCGCACAGTGTGCACACCCCAATGGCTGGCCCTGCTGACACACACTGATGTTACTACTTAGAAATCCCTCAATATTAATACAGACAGCAGAGTAAACACCAATAAACTGTGGAAACAGATCTGATCCCACCCAACTTTATAAAGATTTGCTTACTGGATTTGTTGTAAGATTAAATCATGCCTCCTCCCCTCTCTCTCCCATGCGCTGCTCTGTAAGCTGGGAGGAAGTGAAGAGTAATCACAATCTCTCAGCACAGTAGCACCTGTGGCTGCATGGGGAACAGCTGTATTTGCAGCCCCCCATGTGACATCACAATGCCCCACCTATATGAGCTGCCATACGAACTAACGCCAGTGCTGCTCACAGTGTGTGTTTACATTAAAAAGCCTGCAGGGACCGGCTATAGATACCAGAACCACTTTATTAAGCTCCAGTCGTTCTGGGGACTATAGTGTCCCTTTAATGTAATGAAAATTATAGATTAGTGTCACTAATAATATACTAGATTGCCTACTTACAACCAAATGAGGATGATGATGGGCTGCAGTTTGGCTCCACTGGTCTGGTGTAGAACAGGATCTCTGGAGGGTGTTTGCAACTGTGGTCACAAAATTCAATGTTCTGGGAGAATTGGAAGCAGCTCCATTTTTGGGAGGGCCCCTTACACAGCTCAAGGTCTGGGCCCCAGGGCCTGACGGTGAGTATGCCCACAAGGCCCACTCATAAGTCCACTTATATGTTCCACCTACCCATGAGTTCGCTCACAGGGAGTGGAGTGTGTAGGGGATGTGTTATGTGTTATTGTAGAGCAGGGGTTCTCAACGTTAGTCCTCAGGACCCCCTACCAGTCCAGGGTTTAGGGATTACATGGGTGTGTCTAAGGTGTTTTTTTCCCTTTTTCTAAACACCTGAGACACACCCAGGTAATCCCCAAATCCTGGACTGGTAGCGGGTCCTGAGGACTGGGTTGAGAACCCCTGTTGTAGAGGATCTAATATGTGTGCTTATGGTATGCAGTGTATAGGGATACCAGTTTGTGCAGGTGATGCAGTGTGTTTGTGTGTAGTGGAAGCAGTGTGTATTTGTGTATAAGGGATGTATTGTGTGTTTCTGGTTGTGTGTAAGGGATGCATTGTGTGAATCTGTGTTTGTATGCAAGGTGTGTGTCTGTAAGTGTGTGCATTGAGTGTGTGTTAGTGATGCATTGTGTTTCTGTGTGTATGTAAGAAAAGCAGTGTGTGTGTAAGTGTTTGCATTATGTGTTTCTGTGTATGTGTGCAAAGGATGCATTGTCTTTGTGTGTAAGTGTTGCATTGTTTGTGTGTAATGGATGCATTGTGTGTTTTCTCTGTCGCGTGGGGAAGCATGTTGTGTTTCTGTGTGTGTAGGGATGCATTGTGTGTGTGTGTCTTGGCGTAGTGTCCTCTCCTCCCTGTGATCCTCCTCACCTCCCCCCCTCCTGTGTTCTCCTCACCACCCACCCTCCTGTGTTCTCCTCACTACCCCACCCTCCTGTGTTCTTCTCTCAGTCCCCCCCTCCTCATCTCCTTCTCCTCACTCTTACTCTCCCCTCCTCCTTGTGGTTCTTCCTCCACCCTTGTTCTTCTTACCCCCGTTTCAAACCCCTTCTTCTTCTTCTCCCCCCTCCCTCACCTTCTGTTCTCCCCCTCCTTCCTTACTCCCTCCTTCACCCTCCCCCCCTCTCACTTTCTCCCCCCCCTCCTTCATTACCCCCCCATCTTCACTTACTCCCCCCATCACTTACACCCCCCATCTTCACTTACTCCCCCCATCTTCACTTACACCCCCATCCTTCATTTACAACCCCATCCTTCATTTACACCGCCCTCCTTCATTAACACCCCCCATCTTCACTTACTCCCCCATCTTCACTTACACCCCAATCCTTC